CTGAGTAAAACATGCTATCTGTAATTGAGCTCCCTCTAAGCAATTGTAACATCCTTTCAGTGCTATCAGGGTCATATTGCAAGGCTGTTCAATGATGTAATTAGAACTGTTTACCAACAGATTGGACTCCAGCATGACGGTCATTTCGCCTTCATAGGAATATGCGTTTACCTCTTCATTTTCTAAGCGGATGTTTGTGAATGGAGTTGTGATTGGCAAGATGTTGGTGACATCTTTTTGAAGACTCGAAATGGAATGCGGAGGGCATTTACATGCTTTTGGGGCTTTGAGATTTTCGCATATGCAGATCATACGATTTTCGCATTTCGAAAATCTCTCTAATGCTTGTTCTTTTGAATCGCATTCAACAGGAATGATGTGTCCTTCAGGTAAAATCAGGCCTTCGTTTTTGGAAATAGCAAATCTTCTATCCATAAGAGGAAAATGCGGTTTCTGGATGGAAATCACCGTTATGGATATCCCGCTTATATTCTGACTCACATACGGCTGTAGGCTTATCGATTTTTGTACACCCCTGTGATACATTGTGATATCGATTGCTATCTCCGCTGCGGCGGCCCATTCGATGCAGCGAACGACTTCGTAGACTGACCTACTTTTTGGAACTTGCGCGAGGCGAAGAAATGAGCATGCGGGCAGGGGCAATAAGCACCCGCAGGCGATGCCGCCGCATGTCTGATCACATGCGAGATAACCTGGGTAATTTGATGCCATTGCTAACTCTGGTATAGTAGCATTGGGCAGAATGTTATTGCATGCATTTTGTAGACATGATCCCATCTGAGCGCATCTAGTCGTGCGATAGAAATTGACTTTCGTGCTTCTAGTAAAGAAGAGCGATTCTTTCTTACACACTAGCTGCATGGGTTCATTTCTTAGTTTTATCATACCTACAATCGTATTGGCATGTCGAATTTGTATGCAGATTTCTTTATGTAGTTTATCAAATATGATTTCTTCGCTGAATGTGTAGGTACATTCTCCTCTTGATTTGCATACCATCTCTACCGTTTTGCGCATATGTATATGCTGGCAAGCGGACACTTCTGTTATCCCGGTTAGTGTTATCAGCATGATTGCAATTGCTGTACGTTTGGTTAGAGGGATTGGGTGGAAGGTGTACAACTCTTGTTGGGGTTCGTCCAAACTCTCGCTTATGTTACGATGTGTGTAAGCGCAAATGCTCCATATCATGACCATGGGAATGATTGTTCCGAAGTATAAGATTAGCGCTACTGTGACGATGGCCCCAAATGGCCAGCAATGCGGGTTTCCTATAAGGTCTTTGCTTAGTATGCTGGACATATTTTCGCATAGATCTGGAGGATGGCATTTTTTGACTTCCGTGATTGTGCCAACTGTGGAAGTATGTCGCATCTGTACGTTTACCATGCGATGCAGTGCTGATGTAGGAAGCATAAACTGCATCTCTTCTGTATTTGCAGCGAAGGATTTGCAATGGTTATCGAAACATAGTTCGAATTTCCCTGGTGGAGGGGTAATTTGTACTGTGCCATCTGTGCAGTTGATATGAAGCTGCTTTGATGCGGATATAGGATCGATCAGCATTAGCAGCATCAGTGTGATGAGAGCAGAAGTTGACCTTTGAGCGATTTCTTGTGAAAGAGGTGTGTTCTTTTCATTCAGATAAGCTAGTATTGTCATGTTTAAAATACTAGGCGAAGCCGTCACACCAAATGGCAGACGGTTGAATCTGTAAACTATCAGATTGTCCTTTGTCGGCCGGAGTTTGATGTCTTTGACCCAAAGAAAGCGACAAAGGTCTTTGTGCTCGCTTGTCAATCTGATTTGTGTAAACGCAGCCTCGATATCACATGTTAGCATAAACTTGCTAAATCTGCTGCGAATTAGAATGTCGTGGATTTTGTTGACGAATGATTCTCCAGTGAAAATGACGTCGTTTAATGAAAGTTGTCCTCTTTGTTTGGAAGATGCATCAAAAACAATTCTGAGGGGTTTTGTAGCAGAGTTTTTCCATACTCCCGAATGGGGCATATAGTAGATTCCTGCCGAGTTTTCGATCTGATAGGTTGCTTTTTCAATTATGCCATTTGCAAGGTACTTGTCTAGCATGTTTGTGTAGCAGGAACTTTGTGATGGACTTTTTGCTAGTTGCCTTTGCAAAAATTCTAGTCGACGATAGGCAATTGCGTAATTATCAGCCAGGTCAATTACATTATCTTTCAATGGAAATGGGGCGGTTACCACACCTCCTTCGAATGAAATCTTTTTGGAGTAGTTCTGATAATACTGGAACGTTTTTTCGCTGGTAGAAAATTCGTCCGTTGAAATTCCTAATCCGTCGAGTTCGAATATTTTTTGAAGCATTTCTAGCTCGTTACTATCTTCAATCAGCGTGAGAGCATGAGAAACGTCTTCTCCGGGGAGTTCTGGCGCGATTGCTCCACGTCCGTGGAGTATGGGGCCCAGAACAGTTTTCGCTACATAAAGTCCAGATGGCAATCTTGTGTTGTTGCTACTGAGAACGAAGTCGTAGTAGTAATCGAGCCCTATCAAGATTTGGGGGTCTTGATGTTCGCCCCTTATTCTCGGATTACACAAGCAAATCTCATGTTCCTGCAAAAATTGCTTATCCTGTTCCATGAGACGCGCGGAAGGGTAACCTTTTGTTATTACGGGCTTAGTTCTAACGATCAGTTCTATTTCCTTGCCAAATACGGTGGAAATTTTGATTGGAACGTGGAAGGTTTTGAATTTCTCAATATGACCTCCAATGCCCGACATTGTGCAGATATCGCTGCTTTGTTTATGTAGGTCAAATTCATGTGCAATTGTCTCATTGATCAATGTTCGTTGTGCCCCAGTATCGAAAATTACCAAAACTCGTTCAAATTTTTGAGTTCGGTTACTCCACAAGTTTGCTTCCGCGGTCATAAGCACTATTTGATCTTTTTTGTACTTTGTAGCGGTGCTCTGCTGTGGTGAAGTGTTGGGTACTTCCTCCTTGTGGAAATTGTTCATTTCATTCCTGGGAACCTCTTGATCTGTGCGATTGCGCCATAATCCTTGGCCTGTTCTCGGTTCCACAGCAGGGGGTCTTTTGCTGCTGTTTTGTGGATTACCGAAGCGATTCGCTCGTGAAGTTGATTGATTTACCGTATTTCCTGATCTTCTTGAGTTTGGAAAGCACAAGGTGGAATGGTGCATTCGCCCACATACGGGGCAATCAGGCTTGTTGCACTGGTTGCTTCTGTGTTGGTTAGAAAAGCACTTCCAGCAGCGTTTTGAATCCGTGATTACTTTTCTCTTTCTTTCAACATCCGTGATTGCACGGCAGTTTGCGGAAAAATGGTCCGCACTAGCGCAAAAGATGCATTTTTTCTCGTCTTTTGGGTAGTTCCCTCTCTCTGTGGCTTGATGTCTTTTACTTTCTTGATGTTCGCTTTTGGAGTGGAACTGTAGCCGGGATTCCACATATTTTTTGGCGTTGATCTCGTTTTCGATTTGATCAAGGACCTCTTCGACCTTTACTTCTTCCTTTCCCTGCAGAGCTAGGAGCACATTTTTTACTATGCTGTATGGGAATTTCTCCAGAATTTTTTCTGTCCACATTGCATCTGTCAGTTTGGGAACGTCTTGTCCTGCTGATATCATTTGGTTGATCAACATGCGAATTTTATCGAATGTGTGTGAGCAACCGTCCGCTGTGTTTTTTGCAGGTGGGAGATTGATAAGTTTCTGGACGATTTTTGCTCTGTTCACCGGTTTATTGCCGTATTTTTTCTTGAGCGTTTCTACCATCCATGTGTAGTTCTGTGGAATCAGTTGGATTCCCTTAACGGCCATCTCTGCTCTTCCTTTGAGGCTGTCTCTTAAGAGAAGTATCTTTTCTACCGTGCTTAGTACCTTACTTTGGTGAACAAGGGTCTCATACACCGCCCAGAATTCTGGGAACTCTTCTTCGTCTCCCCAAAATCTTGGTAGTTGCATTGCACTCGGTTTCAACGTTCTACATATCACATCTTCTTCCACCACAGCTCTGCTGCTTCCTTCTTCCACTACAGCTCTGCTGCTTTCTTCCAATACAGCTCTGCTGCTTTCTGGAACTCTGGTGCTGTCGGAGCTATCTTCTGATAGCCAGGCTGCATCATTTGGATTGATCACTTCGTCGCTATTTTCGACAATGTTGCTCCCGGAGCTTGTTTCTGTGATATTTGGGTGAAATGTTTTAGGTAACGTTGTGCCTAGTTTACGCGACAGCCGTTCTGCGTGATTTCGTGCTTCGGTAAGTCTGGTTCCTAATATCAGAATCATTTCATTTGCTTTTGCTATGTTTTCCATACATTTCGTTTCTTTTTCTAGTTCTTCAAGTTCTTTTTCCATTTCTTTTTTACTTAGTCTTGTCTTGCTGTCCTCCCACTTGTTTTGAAGTCTGTCGAGGAGGACTTGAAGGGCATCTCTACTTTGTTGGATAGATTGTATGCTGCCGGTTATCAGGTTTATCGATCCCAGGCACGTCTCGTAGTTTTCATCGTCTGATTCTTGAAGGGTTAGCTCCTCTTTGTATGGTGCGAATTTTTGCAGTAGCATTTGCAAAGTTTTTGCACTTTGTGCAATTGGTCTTTTGAAGAAAAATAGCGCCATTTTTCTGTTTTTGCGCTGGTGATTTGCTTACTTTTTTTTGGTGTTCCAGGAGAGTGTCCTGGACCTGGGGGCCAGCGGGGGTTTGCTGGACTATTTTTTTTGCCAGGATGGGTTGCTCTGGACTTGTGTGCCAGCGGGGGCTTGCTGGACTTTTTTGCCAGGTTAGGGTGGCCTGGACTTGTATCGGCTATTTCTTTTAGTCGATGCACCAATTTGTGGTGGCTACTAGATGGTTCAGTGGAATTTTCAAAGCTTTATCGTTATTCCTCAACATAAAGGCCGGCTGGGTGCCGGACCAACACAAGACGAGAATGCCCTCCTCGGGGTTGGCCCGAGTCAGGCTACAAAGGGTATTATGCGATAACATATGGCGAGTATGATGCGATACAACACATGGCGCGGGGAAGGGGTTCCTGGGATCAGGAACATATGAACAGTGAGAAAGGTCAATATCGCTCAAAGGCATGTCAACATATCTTACCTTACAAGTTCTTTTTGGGATTTTGTTATTCTTAGTGACGATGTGCTTGATCATTGAAATCACTATTTTGTTCATATTCCGGCAGCTAAAACCAACTATTACATACAGTCGAGTAGATTTCCTGCTTAATATAGTGTTCCTGCAGACGCGACAACGCTGGGGCGTCAATAAATGCCTTGCGAGTTCCGAGCTAGTGTTTTCCAGTGTTTTCCTTGCTTATTCTATGCTTCTTAGGTGATTCGTCGCTGATAAAGAAGAAAAGGGTAAATTAGAGAGTAGCTTCTGTTTCCTGAGAATTCTATCATCCCATATTCACAGATATTCACGTGGAAGCATTTCGTGTCAGCTTCTTGTCTATTTTTTTGTCATTTCCTTTTCTTCTGTCACTTCTTCTTTCGAACCTCCTCCTTCTTGTGAGGCGTTTCTTTGAACGCTAGTTGGCTTGTCTTGCAGCAACTTCGGGGCTTTCATCCATAAGAAATAGCATTTTAATCAATTACTTCATGTGATAAAGACAATAAGTCAATCGTAAAAACCCACTAGGCGTTCAAAGAAGTATCTCACAAGAAGAAAGAATCATGAAGTGACAAAAAAATAGACAAGAAGCTGACGCGAACTGCTTCCATGAGGATGTCTGTGAATATGGGATGATAGAATTCTCAGAAAACAGAAGCTACTCTCTAATTTACCCTTTTCTTCTTTATCAGCGACGAATCACCTAAAAAGCATAGAATAAGCAAGGAAAACACTGGAAAACACTAGCTCGGGAACTCGTCAGGCAATTATTGACGCCCCAGCGTTGTCGCGTCTGCAGGGACACTATATTGAGCAGGAAATCTACTCGACTGTAAAACGAGTTTATAGAAACTCAAACGACTCACTCATCCTTGTTTGGTATTTTGAATATGCGAGTTACACTTGAATCAACCTTTCCTGGCCCATATGATACAAATCTTTGAAGTGTGTGTATCAAAGAACCTTTGAACTTCTGGAATGAAATTTTTCTGAAATAGACGAATATGTGAGAACAAGAAATCTAACATTTCAAGGTGAGCATCTTTTATCAACTGCACAAATCGTTTATTCACAGTTCGCAAGTAAATCTCTCTCGATAATCGCAAATGTGAAGAGTAATGCAATAAGCTATCAGTTGTGCGATTTACTTTTTTTGGGGAGATTTGTATAACAATCAATTTGGAACTAACCATTTTTGGTGCCAAGCCTGTTTTATGTTGACAGTATATCCGGATTTCTTTCTCGAAATGCTTCTTCCATAAAGGAGGTTTTTTATCACAAGCGCCGCAATAAACTGGCAACAGCTGCAAAATGTCATTCTTTACACTTTCACTCTCAAAAATCATATCTCACCATGAGGAGACAGTAGAACATCATATTGAGTAAGGCTAATACTTACATGATCCTCATGTACTTTTATAGTAGCATACTTTCGCGCATATTGATAGTATTTTCATGACCACATGAAAAGCATTTTGCGATTATTTTTGACTCGTATTCAACTCAGAAAGTACTCACTTGCATTGTTCGGAGCTTGGTCGTACGTTATACGTAAGCGCATGTGACCATTTGGTACGCTGTTGTAACTCAGATAAAGTGTGTTCTTGTGACCATAGATACCTCATACACATAGATTTTGATGTTTTTGTTCAACATCTTATCATATGAAGCTGAATGTCCGTTGATGTGTTTATGTGTATGTCTGAACGTATGTTACAATAGAAAACTCCATCTATGAAATCAAACTTGCACACATACACTTCGGGAAGGGCCCTCAGACAATCGCAAAGAAGTTCCAGCGCGAACTAAACTATTCAAACTTCCAGGGGACGCTCCCATTGGGCCTGTGGCGTGAGAGGGACCGTAGATTCGCCCGCAGGAACGATTACTTTTGGGTTGGAGCAGGAATCCTCCGCAGAGCACCTTACTCTTCCAACGCTGAATTTGAGGATGCGCCTGCCAAATAACTCAATGTTGCGTCTTGCAACTCTACTTGCAACTCTAATCTCCGTATCAAGCTTGTCGAGCCACTTTTTTGAAAGCGGCGTCCAGGCAAATCTGGACAAATGGGTATCGCCAGCGGAAACTGATTTTGGGAAACCGCGCAGAGTTACAGCATGAGATGAGTTACCCAAGCTCTAAGTTTCCATTACTATCAGCATCAAGTACAAAATTCTTCGTTAATGCGGTTTGAATTTGTACATAAAAGTTTGATTTGCCTTCTCCTCTTCTCTTTAGTAAATATCACTTTTTCGATCTGGACAACCGTCTCCTTTCAGCTTCAGTGAATGCCTTGACTATTGGGGAGTCTGCCTATAAGCGAAATTCTTGCAAAAAAGATGGCACTAGGAAACTAATTTGTACCAGCTTCTTAACATCGTAGTTTGTCTCTGATTGTGAATGTTGCGCACTGATCAGCGGTTGATCGTCGTCTTCTTGCTGTGACTTTTCGAGAGCGACCAAAATTTGTTCTTTTGTGCTTTTGTCAAAGTCAAATCGCTGTGTTGAAAAAATTTCAGGTACGAAGGTAAGGAGATAAATAAATATTAACCATGTTGACAGCTCATTGTCGAGGTTGTTATTCTTTTTAATGATATGCATATGCCTAGTTTATAGTGCATGAGCATGGCCTTCGCTCTTGAGAAGTGATTTTTTTCAACTCCGTCAAATTTGTACAGCCCTCTTCAAAAAGACATGAAGGCAAGAGAGTTACCAACGATCATACAGTGTGCACATTATTTTGGGATACGCTGTAGATTTTTGTCACCATACATAATGCTGCTTGGACCTGAAAGGCTAATTTAAGTATCAGATGCATAGAGCTTTCCTCAGAAATGTAAGCGAGGAAAAAACTACTGAACTTCATTTTTCAAAGCTCGCCAAGAATATAAGTTTGCAAAAGAATCTGAAATGCTGATGCTTAGGTTTTACGACTTAGTTTGTCGAAAATGTAGGCACCATTAACCGAGACCGTTTGCAATAAGAATTGCAAAGTCACCTTCAACAAACTTGAACTATAACTCCAGTTTTCATGTCGGCCCTTGCAGTGTTTCAGATTTACAAGAACATGATAAAATGACAAAAGGAGAATGATTCTACAATAGGCCTGAATGATTAAGTAAGTCTGAAATACTACAAAGCAAATCATGGCAGAGCTTGACTGTGAAATGTTCTCTTTTTCGGAGCAATAAAGCGCTGCGATGTATTTTTTATTCCGCATGCTTTAGTGTTTATGCATTGAATTGCGATGCCCTCATGAAATCAATCTTTGTTCCACGTTCTGGAAGATAGTTTGATAATGCACACAACTTGCACAAATTTGTTGCCAATTCAAATATTCTTTCAAATATTCTCGGATAGATTTCTGTTGCCAAGCATGGCACTAGAAGAAGTCCGCTCAAATGACAGACGCGGCAAGAGCGTCTGCAAAAGTGTTAGCCGTAATCCCAGCGCAAAAGCTTCATGATATAAGTCAGTGCATATCACGACCAGAGAAAGTGGCTCGACAAGCTTGATACGGAGATTAGAGTTGCAGTAGTAGAGTTGCAAGACGCAACATTGAGTTATTTGGCATGCGCATCCTCAAATTCAGCGTTGGAAGAGTAAGGTGCTCTACGGAGGATTCCTGCTCCAATCCAAATTTAATCGTTCCTGCGGGCGAATCTACGGTCCCTCGTGGCGTGAGCCCCGCCCTACCTGGCAGCTCCAATACGAGTGTCGCCCGGAAGTTTCAGAATTTTAATTTGCGCCCGGTTGCTTGAGGGGGTGTTGTAGGAACTTTCTTATTAGCGGTATTGATTTCATCGATTTTTTGTAAGGAGCTGCGGCTGAAGTCAAAACAGGAGATTAAGGCTGATTACGAGTGATATAATATATCATTTTTTTCCGATTTTATAGATTCAGTCTTCGAGCTAGGGGGCTGGAAGTTATTTCAGGAAGATATTGGTCGGTGCGAAATTGATGCGTGTTTTTCCAAGTCCTTTTCCCGACTTCCCTCACATTGTCTCTTACAGTATGTACTTCGCATGATTCAAAAGCTCCTTCTATGCTCTATCTAGTCTATACATAAAAGATCATTGTGCCTATTCGAAAACGTGTAATTGCGGGAAACCGCGCGGCTCCCGCAGCGAAAGTTCCTGCAAATCTAGCACCTTTAGTTTGTTGGTTCACTGGTCCTAACATCAAATATCTTTATAGTTGAAGTTTTTACTGTATTCCAAACGCGCACTCAAAACCGAAAAATTAATGTATTCACTTTCTTGGTCAGTATTTGAGTGTCAATAATAGCTTTTCCTTTCAAACATTCGTAACATTCGGGCCAGATATCTTCTATCCGCTACATGCTTGATCATATTTTCGAAATCATCATGGGAACTCGGCGTCCCAAAGGTAGTAGCTTCGGGCATTGACCATCCAAAAATTTCCTTTGAAAGAGGCAATCACTGAGGCTTCCATTTTTGCAAGCGTAGAACAAGGGTAGAACGCCTCTTTAGCACTTTTCACAAAGAAAAGCCTGCCATGTGTATTATAATTTGTGTCTTTCGGAGCTGCTCCAAAGAATGGACAACCGTCTTTTTTGTTGGGTTTTTCCTTTTTTGTTTCTGCAGAACTTCTTCGTTGAAGTACGTCGAATGCACCTATACTACTGGCTTGCGGCTGCAGAAAAAAAAACCTATCATAAGCCATAATAAAAAATTGGACTCAGTCGCGATTTGTCAAAGATGAGTCGTAGTTGGGTGTTTCAGCTGAAACCACGCAATCATTTTTCTCAGTGTAGAATCTGCATGAATATCTCAAACGCAAGTGAAGCTCGAAACAATGATGACTAATTTTTCAGTTTCAAATACTTTGGAATTTGTATGAGTGACGACGGCAGAGTTTCTCACAAGGTGCAACTTTTATCTTCAATAGTATGGTAATCTGACACAAAATAGAAATATCAGGGCAGGTAAAAGGGAATAAAAAAAGTGACACAAACACGACAGAAACGCACCGGTAGCAGATAAAACTTTGAAAACATTGGCAAACCAAAATTAGGTCGGAATGCAAAAATCGGAAATATGGACTTGGATAAAAATGGAGATATGCAAGAATATTTGAGTCTACATGTGTCGCGTATTGCCAAAGTTCAGTCCGCTGGCCGTAGCACCTTTGTTGGTACCCATCTGCAGTCCAATCACATTCTGTCCAGCCTTCAGCTGTTCCTGAGTCCATTCTCGTTTCTCACCTTCGGCTTCCTGCAACCAATGGTGATTCAAAGATATTATAATGCTATAAAAAATCGAATATCTACCACAAGAAGGGATTCAAAAAGTCGAATACTGCGCAAAAAGTCACACAAAAATATGGACAGAAGGTGAAGTTTACCTTGGGTCCAAGACCTTGCTTTCCAAACAATTTCTCGCTCTTTCTAGCCAGAGAAGCAAGGCAGATCAAAACGGTGTTAGGATCCTGAGCCTCATACAGATCGACCGTCTGAAATAGCTTTCAATAGGAATAGATAAAAAGAAGGAAGAAGAAAAAAAAGCTACCAAAGGTAAATTCTGATTACCTGAAACAGCTCAGACTTCGCAACGTGCTTTTCGGCAAAAGCTAGGAAGAATGAGATGTTTTCCATTTGTTTGAATGCCATTGCAGAGGTGTTGATTTTCTTGACAGCTCCTGGCTGCAGACTGTTGGCCAATCTAAAACATTTCAACAATTTGAGGAGTACAGAATAGCGCATTTGGTTACCTGCACAAGAGAGTGCCATCCTTGAAAATTTTGATGAAACTATCTACGCTACCATCTGTTTCGAAATCTTCACCAGTTACGTTCTAAAATGGCATCAGCTCATGCACATTGTGCTTAGAGAATTTAGGTGAATCACTAAGTTCCAGCCCAGATAACCTGTCGACAATTGACATGAAAAAAATAGTCGTGAACAGCAAGTTGTCAAATCAAAACATATTTTTTGGGTAGAATAGAGCTCTTTGAGTTAATATGGAACAATTCTCAACCTCCACGTTGCAAGCCTAGATGTTTTAACACTGCTTTGGTGTGGTGTGATAAGCAAATGCTTTGCAAAAAGGTCAATTTTTTTGCAATTCTTCATTAAGTTCCATGCTGATGCAAAATCATCTCTCTCCTCAATTCGGTCTCTCTTATCAGTCATCACCGCCTATCACCAGCCAAGTACTTATAACAGTTTCTTCTAAGGCGTTACGCATGAATGTGCAAGAAACTTCAAAACAGAACGTGCCATCTTCGTCAATAGATGAATTCCAAAAAGTCACTAGAAAACCAAGGAAAACACGCATCACTTATGCATCAAGAGATCATTCAACGATCTGAACATTTTCGGCACATACTTATGGTCATAAGCAAACGTCATTTTCGCACATAAAATGTATTCACAAGCAGAAGTTGTTCACACTATAAATTATGACAAAAAAGACTTGAACAAACAAAGTATCGAAACAAACCGTACAAACAAATTTGCTGAAAGTTTTTTTGACCCCCCGTTTTCTATCAAAAGCAAGGTTTTCGGCTTTAGAGATTGTGATTCTCAGCTTTGACAAAGCCAGACTGGAAAAAAATTGTCTACAAAACATTCAATTGAGAATACTGAAACTGTGTACTTTCTGCACGAAAACAGGTGAGAACAAGAGCATTGTATGTTATTTTCGCACATCTGCATGTATTATTTTGTCGGCGCTTTCATTTGTGTTATGAATTGTTCACATTATTGCCCTTTTTTATTCTCTTCTTGCAGCGGCCTACGGAATGTGTGCGAGCACTATGGAACAATGATCGAGTGCGATAAGGCGTAAATAGATAACCATGTGATGCTGTACACATCTAACAATAAGATAACTTCACGGAAAAGTTGAACAAGAGATAAAGGTGTCGAAGTATGAGTTCAAAATGTAGTAGTTCTCATCTAAGCGAGTGGCAATTACTTCTATTGGGCAACAGTGAGCATATTTCCTGCCCACGCGGCACAGCGTAAGAACATTGAAACTATCAAAAACATAAAAATCAGCATTAGTAATGTTCAGATTTCTCTCTTATCACCGTACTGCCTTACGAGTAAAGCGCAATACAGCACTAACTCCATTCAATCTGGAGCGCCATAAATCGGAGCACAATGCCAGCTACTGTCAATAAATCTGAAGCGAACATAAATGTATGCGTGCGATGTTGGCAAATACTGTTGGACGGAAAAAAAGCGAAGTGCGCACAAAAAAGCTTCCAAAGCATGTGCCTTACCTAATTTTCCTTTACCTTATATAGCTCTACTGCGCGCAACAAGTAAATCATGTTTGTTTCAAACTATAAACTCTTCAGAATCGAACACTAAATCAAAACTAAACTATTGACGTATGGAAAAATAGTAGAGAATAACATAGAAAGGAGGAAGATGATGTTTGGACGACAATGACTTTGCGAAAAAGGAAGATTGGAGTTAGGGAAAATAATGCAACCAAAATAGCTTCTTAGAATGTCATTTAGTGATTATGCATTCTTGTTGCCACCAGAACGACATGACCAGAATGTTGGTATTCTCCACTTCTGGCATCTGTTTGCCGAATCTGTCAGCGCAAATAATTTTTCATAGTTCGAATTGCTAAATTACAGAAAACTCAGATAACAATTTTGCATAGTAGCAAACAAAGATACAAGGATGATAAAAAAAGATGAAGTATGTCAAGCGAATATCAACAGATAATAAATGTGTACCTTCACCCACTGGAGAATTTGTCCGGCAAGTTCACGATCATATTTTCCATGAATTTTCTGCTGTGCTTCAAGTGCAATACCGGACTTTTGTGCACGAACGTCACACATTATCTGGAACTAAGGAATTAAAGGAGCCACTTCATGGAAAGGATGTTGAAAGAATGGACGATGAGTAAGCGCTCGTTCGATGAATGACAACGAAACGAAGCTTTTTCAGATGTCAAGCGAAAAGGGCGTGATGTCGAAACGGATGATGATGTCCGAGAGAAAAGATTGGTCTTTGTGTGCGTGTGGCGTACGAGCAACCTCCAAATTTTCGCTTCGCAATCGATAGTGCGTCTCGTTAGCCTATTATATGGAGGAAATAAACATGATAAATAACATAAATGGCATCTTTAAAAAAACGAGAGAACTCATGCCATAAAACAAACCGAGGTTTTCTGTTAAATAATTTTTGGAGGGATGCCCTTACTAACCAATACAAATTCTTCAGCCATGTTCAAATTAAGAATGCAAAGATACGAGCAGAAATAGTGCAACATATGCCAACAATAAGGAGAAAACCTAGTGTAATTGTATACCTCCTAGTAAGGGCATCCCCTTGTTTGTTCAACATATTTCGCGTGCAGCAAGAGCCAAAGAATAATCTGCAATGAATTACTGCATATGTTGCGAAGCAGCCGAAGATAGAAAGGTCGGTGGAAAAACCCCGTACGTCAAAAAACAGCAAGTAGCGCAGATGGCACTCAACCGATTAGGAGCGGGCGTATAATCGAGGGAAAAACGCGCCAAAATCAAAACTAATCGACCAAAGATTGAGGTAGATTGCATAGAAGATCATCGCGATTGAAATTTTTACTACTGACAGAACGAAAGTGAATCATTTCTCGTATCAGGGGAAGAGAACAAGAAAATAGCGCCGACCGTTCCGATAAGCCGATAGCAACTGAGTCAGCCGTGTCTCTCTCCCGAACAGAGGCAAACCGATTGCGCGATGACGTAATTCTGGAATGTACAGGCACCCGTGTGCACCCCCGCGGAGAATTACCGACAGCCATAACGCTCTCATAATGAGTTTCCACTCCCCCGCTATTTGAAGTCCCATAAAACCCCATTAGCGTTTATTTTATGACAGCACGCTAACTTTTCAACGCATGTGGAGTTTAAAGTCATCTTCAAGACCTCACGTGCAATTGCACCAGATAAAGGAAACTTCATTCTGTGAATAAGGAACCCGGAACCGTTTGCAGGCCAAAAGAAAAATAAAAAAAAACAAGCTTGACTGTGTGATTAAGAAAAGATTGTACTTGTGATCTATCCAATCCATGAATTTGCCTCTTGAAAACAGGAGAGAGCAAGTCAAACCTTTCCTGCAATGCGTCTTCGAGTCAGTCACAGAATGTATGATACCTTTGACACTCTGGAGATGGTGCCTGAAAAGTGATGGTTGTCCCCTGTGCCACAGTAAAAGTGAAAATTATTAAAGCAAAGATAAAGAAAAAGAAGAAACGAAACTGAACTAGCAAATGCAAAAAAAAATGGATAAAAATCGATGGAACACTGCAATAACTTTGAAATCTTCTTTTGGCGGTATTCGAGTCGCAGGTTTTCGCTTCAGGACCGCGAGTGTAACCCTTTAATTCAAGCGGCTTGGCGGCCGGAAGACTGGGCTTTGTGACCCAACTGAGGTCGCTCGCGCCCGCTTCACAGTTTGTGTGTCTCTCGCGCGTGCGTTCTGATCATTACCTAGCCTTAAATTAGGTCACGATCCCGCCTGCCAGCCGCCAAGCCAATTGAATTGGGTATAACTCGGGAAGAAGAGGGAAAGTAGAGTCCTCAGGTGTTTACCAAGTTTGTAAGGAATGCACTGTGAAATCTGCATCCGAGACGGTGTCGTTAGAGCCCATTACGTCTGAAGAAACAGTGGGACAAAAAAAGCAACGCAAAGCTAGTTGCACTAAGAAAGAAAAAGCGTTGTACTCTGGCTTGTGCATGCATGCCAGTGCAGATTTGGAAACTAGTGCAATTAGACAGACCGAGTCATTAAATGAGGGCAATTGTGATTATCTTTCAAGTGCTTTGCTTTGAGGAGGTTGGCACTCTCGGAGTGTTCCTATAAACTTTTTATATCGCGGTATTTAGAACAGCTAGCTGCAGAATATCTGAGAATCACGAAAGGGATAAATCCAATTACTCCCCATTTAGGACAGCTAGCTGCAGCATATCTATTTAGGAACTACGAAAGCCAATACGTTTAGATATTCAAAGCGGCTCCATAGATTTGTGATGAGTCATATTCTTTTTTGACTTTCGCAATCTACAAGAAGGATTAGTAAGGATTACGGAGACCTTGTTCAGCAAAGTCTGACATTCGCGATTATCGCCCTGCTAAGCCTTGATAGACATTCTCGGTCGTGAACTTCGCAGAACATGGGGATGACACTGAATAAAAAATAGAGTGACCTTTAATTTAACTGGCTTGGCGGCTGGAAGGGGGGCTTTGTGACCCAATCAGGGCCGCTCGCCAGCGACGCAGTCTGCGCCTTTCCCGCTCTCTGATTATTACCTATAGGTACCTATAGGCTATAGCCTCAATTAGATCACGAAGCCCCTCCTTTCAACCGCCAGGCCAGTTGAATCAGGTATATACAGGATTAAAAGAGATGTAAGTTGCAGGGTTCATTTGTTTATCTGATTACGCATTACATTACTCAAAGGTATAAAATCATTGCATATTTTAGACAAGTATGACAGAATTTCAAAGAATTAATGATAGATAAATAATTTTCAAATGATAAACAAAACAGAAAAGGGGTTCTCGAATCTCTATAACTTTACACTTACTTCACATCAAGACTTATCAAGTTCAACGTAACGATTCAAAACTGGTAATTCAAGGTTATGTGGAAGGGCGTTGTTTGTTTTCAGCGGGATTTGCGCTTGCGTTTATGGGAATCTTGCTTTGACTTTTGCTGAGAATAGAAAGCTAGCAGGAATCTTCGTCATCTCGTTTGAGTGCAAGCAATGTTCTTTTAAAAGTGCAGCTTATTGAAAAAATAATGGCTTACGACCATGGATGGCTGATGCATGAGTATCATCTTGGGCGGTATTCAAGGAAAGGCCTCCAGAGCGTTTATGATCATCGTAAAATTTTGAAAGGAACGAAGGTTTCGGACGAAATCGAAAGAAGTGCTAGTAAAGATAAGAGTTGCCCTAGAAGTTTGATGTCAAACCATAGTGCAGAAAGTGATCCTAATTGTGAGTAATACTGAGCGAAAGTGAGTCATAAAGCAATCTTATAAATACCTTGTGTGTATACAAAGGGCTGAAGTTAAAAAAGCATAAACGGTGTGCCTCTCCATCGGTAGCTGTCGCACTCAACTATTATATTTCAGCAGAGAGGGAATAAAAGGAGTTTATTGGTGCAGTCATATTTAAAACATTCTTAATTTTTGCATTTCCTGCAATTTCTGCATTTTTGAGCAACTTAGAAAAAAATGTAAAGACAGCTACATTAAGCATCTTATGTAGGTTCATGTTTAACATTAACAAAAAAGACAAACAAATTCCAAAAATTATCACTGTCATGACGAACTGCCATTTGATTCAACTGGCTTGGCTTCAAGGCGGGGCTCCGTGACCTAATTAAGGCTAACTAGTGTTCAGAGAGCACTCACGCGAAACAGACGCAGGTGCGTCGCGAGCGCGAGCGGCCTTGATTACGTCACAAAACCCCGCCTTCCCGAAGCCAAGCCAGTTCAAAGGTTACATCATAATATACTAGATCATTGAAGAACAAAGTTACAAAACACATAAATCAAAAACTCCTGAAAACCAAGAACACTGTTTACAATTCCTTGCTGACTGGTATACAGTATGAAACACAATATCACAAGAAATTTTCTTACTAGACTAGACACAAATAAACTAAAACAAATACTTTATAGAAAAGCGTGTTGAAACAGATATGAAAGAGCATGTTTAAATGACCCTGGACATATTGTTACAGGAGATACAAATGTCGTTAAAGATAAACATTTGGAATCTATAATGAATAGAGGCACCATTATAGAATTCAAAAAGGTACCAATGAAAAAGAAGTACTTTAACAAATTAGTTTGTCCGTAGAATTCATTGTAGATTCGATAGGCATGACTGTACTAGAAAATACAAACATAAATTCTCTCTTAATATCACGTATGACATATATACAGCAGAAAATACGGATGACATACAAGAAATACGAATTAAGCAATAAAGAACATTCAAACATCAAAGCGCTTCCTTTCATAAGATTATTAACGTTCTCAAACATTAAACATTTTCTTCCATGAATTTATTTCCATGAACTCAAGCCACTTGTTAATCGAACAAGACTAAAAAGCAGACAAAACTACAGTTACGATTGCGAGTATTCCATGGAAATACAAAGTAATTTTGTAATGTGTCAATAAGATAGGTAATAATGATTATAGATTCATGTGCATTAAACTCTATACCCAATTAACTAATTAGGCATAACTATATAAGAAAATACAAAACACAATTTTCTCCTAATATCATACATGACATATACAACAGAAAATACAGATACATGGACAGACATAAACCACCTTGCAAAAACAACAAACTGCAACACAACAAATCAACTATAATTCTCTTTTATATGCAGTTCCTAAATTACAGGGCTCCTAAATTGCAGAGTCGTTTGCACCAGCGGTCGCGCGAGCGCGTCGCGCCCGTGCTTTTGCCGGCGCCGCCGCCATCGATCGAGGCGGCGCCATTGATGCCCGGGCGCGACGCGGTCGCGCGACCGCTGGTGCAAATGACTCTGCAATTTAGGAGCCCTGTACGTAGAACACCTGTTGAATTCAGATTCGTAACTGGTGCTACACACAATAACATCAAAACTTTGGTACTTGAAATGAAAACACTTCCCACATTTGCCAAACATCATTTCGAAAAACATATGCAAGCCATAAGAAACAGGAACCATAACTTTCACAGCTACTGGTCTGTAGATAACATCAACATTAGTGAAAATTCAACGAATATCAACCTGGAAAATATGAAAATTCACTCAGCCGATTTTACCAAAATTTATTAGTCTACCACATGACACCATAAAATCTGGTATAACAGAACTTCTTAGATTATGCTTCAACAATACAAATAAAAAATACATAATAAACAAGTGAACGTTCAGTGAACACAGTTTTAAACAAGAAGTTGGTGTTCCTCAAAGAGGTAACAATCAGCCCACTATTATCTATCGATCTTACACTCTTACGGTATGAATATATATATATTCTATCCAAAATAATGACAATAGATTCGAATGCTTCCTTATAACTGTATGGACGATTTATTACTTATCCATAACATAGACGAAGACGCTATAGATGGCTCAATTGTGAACATTTATAATAACAAAGATATATACCAATCTAACTACCTTGATGTGATTATTGAAATTATAAACAATAACATAACTAGAAGACTATACAATTAAACTCATTATTTTATTTTATGTTGAAAGATTCATACATTTTACATGGAATATCTTTTTGAATATTAAAAAAAAGTGACAATGTATATAGGAATCAGAAAGCTCGAACATGTACATATTCTAATTTGTGCTAAAAATCACACAACTCAAGAATATGTATACTTGACAAATGAGTGTGATATTCATACGATAACATCTCCTTTATTCAAATGCCTGCACAGAAACCCGTTTATTTGATGTACCCTAATATCGCGAGTATAAGGCGCACTTTTTCGAATTTCCAAGCGAGCCGCTCAGCCGCTTTACTGTATTCCGGAAAGAAATCCTTACATCGCACGATTCTCTCAAGCAATATACAGCACGCTATAGGGTCCTTTGGTTGTAGAGTCCTTTGGCTTGTCTGGGCTTGTCGATTTTGCAAAAAAAATCCCCGCGCCTTACACGCGTGAAATTACGGTAAATACAATATATTCAATTTTTTCTTCCAAAATTTGACAGGTATTCGATTCAAATAAACAATAACGTTCCTTTTCATTCTCAACCAATCCACAACAATGAAAGTAAGGAAAAATTGATACAAATGATAAGTTTGTCATAAATAACTTCAATGAAATTGAACCAGAGTAGACAAGCTCATTTCAAACAAACTTCACAAATACGCGCGGATCGTCTGATTAAAGAAGGTTGCAGAAGAGAAGATGAGTTTTTCTATTTTTCAAGAAAAAAAACACTTTTCGAAATCAAATCACTCCAGGCCTTCTCTCCTTACTGAGAAGTCCCGGAGAGCGCCTACAAATTGCAAACTCCGTCTAAAGGAAGGGACGAAACACAGAATACGCGTGAACTTACTTTTTCTCTTTCATTAGAGGTGGCGCTGGTCACGCTCTCTAATGTCGATGGCAAAGTCTCAAGAATTTCAATCAGCAGGGGTATATTTCGAAGATTTTTTGCAAGGCTAATAAAAGTTTGAAATATTATTGTAACCATACGCAGTCAGTGAATTATCGCTCAATTTCGTCATTAGTCTAGAGCACTTAAACTTCGTGAGTCTCATTTCTTCAAAAGGCAAGGGTCTTGGATGCGCAACATTTTATTTCAGCCAACTTTCCATGTGTACTTTTCCCTTAATATTACGGCTCATACAGCGAAGCAGTTTGAAAGACAAAAAAGCCACGTAGCTGTACAATTCCACTATAGAAGAAGAGAAGGTGAACTAAGCAAGAACTTGCGCCGTGACCGCAATGAAGGTTCTAATGATGATCCGTCTATGTTAGAGCGGTTTCAAGGGCAAACAACGGCTACGGAAAGAAAACTGTTTATACTTTCTTTAAATGAATTCAGTTAAGACGGTAAAAGATCATTTACAATTTTTT